GCCTTACCAAAGCAGAAAGGGTGCAGGAAATGTAGAATTACATTTTTAAAAAAAAAAATAAAAAAAAATATTCACAAACATTTTTGTATTACTGCCCCCTGCATATGATACTTGAATTTCCTTTTTAAAAAGGATTTGAAACCACAGTGTTTTAAAATTAAGTCTGAAAAAAAGGTTGTTTTTTCTTTTATTTGTTTTTCGCTGTGTCTTCTGTTCAATTCCTGACTATTGAACTACAATAAATGATACACACTCACACAAAGTGTTTCCTTTGTCTTTCCTCTAAGCGTGTCAATTAAAGTATAAAAAATAAAAAAATGACTGAGTTGCTTTCTTCAGGTTTGCTGGTAGTGATTTGGGATCTGGAGGTAATTTAGTACATTATGTGAAAAATTTCTGTGCACGCAGATATCAGTACTTCAAACTAATGAAATGTTCCCAAGCGGGTGACTCCGATACCTATTCATAGCTACATGACAGTTGGTGACAGGCTCCAGGGGGAATTTTGCTTAGGTTATATTTAATCCAGTGCTGACCTTTGGGATATGCAAGTAATTCTAAATGAAAATGTGAAGGTGTAGTGGGGTTTTGTGTTTTGTTCTTTTTGTTTGTTTGTTTGGTGTTTCCCCCCTGCTGTGTGTTTGTGTTTCTCAAAGGGTGGGAGGAAGATTCCAAAGTTTGTGTCTGCATGGACTGTTGGAACAGAGAAGCGTGCTTCTTCACTGTTTTTATAGTTCCTCAACCTTCAGTTTTTCCACAAATTCAAATAATCTTTTTTTTTCCTGTAAAAGTCACAGAAAAAAGTCTGCCATGCTTTTATCTGCAAGCTGTCATTCAGCATCCAAATACATCAGGGTTTCTGAATATGTTATAAAGGAATGCAGTGAGCTCTACCAAGGTGTGTTTTCTTTTTTTGTAAATGGGCAATTATTTTCTACATAAAGGCTAAACTAAATGTTCCACTGTCACCTCATTGTTAACGGTTATAGCATAAAATCTCTATAAACATTCCAGAATTCATGCTTTATTTGATGGAGGACAACTGTTCAGCAATATATAATTTTTTACTGGAGGATAATTAAAATGCTGTTTAATTTAAATGCTATAGTTTAACATATCAGGCTTTTTTTTCTCCAAGTTAATATCATACAGCTTTTAGTTTATTGACAGACTATGAATGTATTGGAAAGATTGAAGAAATGCATTCTGCTAATTTTATTCAGCTATTACAAATGAGACACACCACCACCTTTTGTGAATAAGGATGCTCTGGGGATGTTGAATGGTTTTATAAAATGAGAAGAGCACGAGCAGAACTAATCCATCCTGAAATTAAAAAAAAGCTGATTGCTTAAGTGTACCCTTTATAGGGCTTGTGGTCTGCTGTTCTCTAATAGTTCTCGATATTTCACATTTGAAGTGTTTAACTAACATCAAAGAGGGTTGCGAGTTGAAAAGTTTTACCAGAAAATACGTACGGAACTAGCTCTTTTTAATGCAAATATAAAATGATAATCCTATTTTTTTTTAACTTACTCCATTGTGCCAACGAAAAGATTTGTTTGAACAAATTCAGGATGTTTAGAAATACTTACATTTGGTATCAGGATGTATCAAGACAATGCCGTTCAGAATCTGATCTTATAGGTATTCTGCCATCATACCAGACTTTGAGACCTATAAATAGCAAAGTGCATTACTGAACTGTTTTGTCTAATTCTGGCATACATGTATCATTTGAAAATGTATCAGTGCAGAAGACAAGAAGGCTAACATTAAGTGGCTAAACCAATTTTATCTGGAGAACTACTCTCCAGTGCTTGAAAGGTATGAGTTCAACCAAACACTGTCCCAAATTCAGCATTCATGGACAGAATGATGAAATGTATTTTAATATGAGCAACTGAATGTACTATTCTGTTGTTTTCTGGGGGAAAAAGTGAATTAAACCAGCGTTTTTGTGGCTAGTGGACACTTGAATATCTGAAGAGGAAAGCTGAAAGTAGTATTAGATTAAGAATAAATCTACCACAGAAGCATAGCAGTTGTGTGACAATTGTTTAATTAATTTCATACAATCTGCAGGTTTTTGTGATTTTTTTTTTTTTCCCCTCTCCCTAATTCCATGTCATTTATCTCCTTTGATCCAAGTGTAACCATATTACAACACAGGGACTTTGTGTCAGAGATCACAAAATCTATCACTTGATTAAATTACCTTTGACATTTACATGTATCTGCAGAATCTGAAGAGCTTTCAACTGTGAATTCTTTATCACAGGAATGGTTAACTATATGAACGTTGCAGAATGGGCTTCTATTGGAAAATTTGTAGTTACAAGATTTTATCGCTGGTCTCCGCTTGCCTCAAGCTATGTCACTAAAGAAATTACTAGGGCAAGTTCTGATGTTAGAGCAATACAATTCAGTACAATTGATTCTATTATATCACAATTTACACTTATGTAATAGCATAATTTACATCTTTGTCAGCTATTCCCTGCTGGCCCCAAGGACAGCCTCATGCCGCTAATAGCAGGCTGACACTGCTGCTTTAGCCAGCAGCAGAGTGACTCTAACAGTCCCCAGGAGCATTCTGTGACACGGTAGCTGTCTTCCTTATCGCTCAGCTTAAACCAACCCTCTTGCCTCTGTTTAAACAGGCTTCCCTGTTTTAAGAAGCACATGTCGGTGATTTCAGTAACCAGCTATATTTGTTTGTACTAATAAATGCAAGAGACTTTTTTACAGTACTATTTGCTCTCATTTTTCTAGTATGATAATGGGCAAGAAGACTTCACTTGTGCAGGGGCCCTTCATTATATGAATATTTTCTGGAAAAGGAATGTCTGAATTCTACTTCTAAATGCACACAGCTTGCAGGGAATTGGATTTGTTTCTGCAGTGTTGCAGGTTTGTGGTATTGGTTAGAAACATACACAAGGAATTAGAATAGACACTAATTTTTTAAATACGATTCAGCAGTCAAATATTGCACTAGGATTCCACTTAAGTACAGCTTTTACTAAGTTAATTCTAAATTACCCAGGAAGCTCTCCCTTTCAGAAATGATACCAACAAGGCTAGTTTAGTTGTGCTGAAGTTCTGTAATTAAAAAGCCTACATCAAGACTGCGTTAATGCTTGACCACCTTCCAACTCAATGCTTCGATCCTCAAAGATGAATTTTCTTCCTGCCTCCCTTTGCAGTGAGAGACCTCCCAGATGCTATCCAGCATCTGTCAAATGCCCTTTACCATTTTCTTTCTCTACATGTAACTAGATTTTTAAGTGAACATTCCTAGCAGATTTTTCAACACTCTGTAAGCAAGCAACTGAATTAAAATACTAGAACTATGTAAGACAGTGATGCAGGAACTACACTTCCTAGGTGACACTATACAAACTTTACTGAAGTAAAATTAATCACGTTATCTTTTACCATGGAGGACTACGGCACATGGCCAGTATTCCACCAGTTTACAGGGCATTTTGAAACACATTTTTTTCTGAGTTTTTTTTTTTTCCAGAGAAAGTATAATTGACCTAATTCTGCATGACTCTGGGTAGAAGTTAACAGTTGCACCACACTAAACCCATCACTAAATCATGTGTTTCATCAATAGGAAATCTTCCAAAGTTCAAATAATGGTATTTTCTAAGACACATGAAAGCCACGGATTTTTGCTTTGTTGGTTCTGTGGCAGTATTTCCTTAAAAACCATGGCTTAGCTCTGTAGGGTTAGGCTTTTGCATTCAGAGGCATAACTGCAGGTGATATGCACACACAATGAGAGGGGAAGGGGGGGGAAAGTCACTTTTTACCAAACGAAAAGTAACAAATACCTCATTCTCTCAAAAACCTGAAACTGACAGGGAACATGAGACACAGGGAATATTAATGTTAGCAGCCAGGGGCCTGTGAACAAAAATAAACCTTGTTCTGAAACTAGAAGTCTCAGGTTTCAAATGTTCTCAACAGCTTAAATCCGATTTGTATATGATGGTGTCTGTATGGAAAGTATGTAATCAAGGTAGTTCATGTAATATTGTTTTCTTTAAAATGCTCATAAGCTTAAATAGAAACCTATTTCTAACACTAGAAGTGATCAAAGTACTAATGGAAAGGAGGAACTTTACAGCTGAAGTTATTGCCACAAAATAAGTTTTTACTGTACATGTGATACTATTGAAAGTACAAAAACTAATATAGCACTACTGAAACAATCACATAAAAATACATTGTGAGATCTACAGAAAATAAGATGCTCAGAAAACGGTTTTGGGGTGGGGGGAAGGGACAATTACTGCCTCCCCTCTGAGCCAGGGGTGCCAGGCCTTCTTCAGGACTCAAACTCCGGGGTCCCACTTAAGTTGGCGAACCCGCTCCCTCAGCCCCCGTTTTGCGGCAGGCCGACACGCCCACCTGCCCCGGGCCCCTCGAGGCGGAGCCGCCAGCCAGCCGCATACATTAAAAAAGCATTTTTTTAGTCACAAGTGCCCAATTTCTGCTCACGTCTCTGGTAACGACGCGCAACATCCCCGGGCGCGCAGGGTAGGCGGCCGCCGCCGCCTCCAGGGCCGCGCATGCACACACCACGGCGGAGCGGTGAAAAGACACGGGTGTCCTCGCGCCGCTCGTTATAGGCTCAAAGAGGGACGACGCGGCTCCGTCCCGAGCTCTGATTGGCCAGGGAAGGGGGAGAACTGATTCCCCGGAGGGGCTCGGCGGAGAGATTGATTCAGCGGGAGGAGTAGGGCCCGTCATTGCGGGCGGGCATTCCCGGGCTGTGATTGGCACGGCGGGAGGCGGGCACACGCCTCTTCTGCGCTTAGCGATTGGCGGATGGGGGGGAGGAGGGAGCACCAGCGAGCGGCTATTGGCTAGGCGGACGTCCCTTCGTCTGCGGAGGTGGGTCCGGGCGCCGGGCCCCGCGATCCTGTCAGTGTGGGAGCGGCGCTGTGGGGAGCGCGTCGCTGTGTTCCTTCTTCCCGGTGCGGCCTTTCTCTTTTCTCCCTCCCCTTTTCTCCCCTCCCTCCCTCCCTCCCTCTTCCTTCCTGCTCCTTTCCCGGCGGCGGGGGGAGAGGGGGGGGTCTCCCGGCTTCGTCGGAGGCAGCGAAACGTGATGGGGATGGCCGGATTCTTTTCTTTCCTCCGCCCCGCACTGCGTTGCTTCGCCGGCCGCGCCGCCTTTCCCAGCTGCTGACAGCGCCGGCGGCCCCGCGCTGCCCGCGTCCTGCCGATCCCCCCCCGGCCCCGCCCCAGGTGAGGGGCGGCTTGTGCTGAGGCAGGTGGGTCCGGCAGCGAGTTGGGGGCGAGACGAGTGGGGAGGACGGCTGGGTGCCGGGGCGGGGGGGGTGGATGCCGTAATGCGGGTGCGGGAGGCGGGCGTTGCTGTTTCACGCAGCTCTTCGGCGTGGCGTGGGGGGACACGCCACGAGTGGGATGGGGCCTAGGAAGTGGCGGGGGGGTGGGGGGAATTGGGGGGTGTTGGCGGGACGGCGTGCCCCGGAGCTGTCAGGGCAGCGGCACAAGGGCGTGGGGCCCGGCTCGGCCTTTCCTCGTCTGCATCTGCCTGATGCACGGGCTCGTCCTCTGCGACGCTGCCTTCCCCTTTTCCCCGGCGCTCCGAGCCATGGCGGGCCGGCCGCTTCCCGTCCTTTTAGTCGGCAGAATTCCGTGCGCTTTGTGGGTCGCGAAGATCGCCGCGTTTCGCCGCCCTTTTTTGCCTCTTTTTTAGCTCAGATGAAGTGGAGGCGATAATTGCTTGTTGAGGAGGGAGGCATAGTCTCTCAACCAGCCGGAAGATGCAGGAATGTAAAAGGATTGTGGTTTTCAGGGTGTTTTTTTGTGGGCCTGTAGGTATAGGATCTGTGCCTGGATTCAGCACAGCACAATTACTGAGGCAGCCATGTTGGGATGATGATCTGACAATCCTCGGTGAGCTAAGTCAGGAGGCAGGCGTCAGGAGACAGGATGACAGGCCTGGTAGTTTTGGGGTCATTGGCAGAATATGGGTGTTAAACTGGTTGAAGAACTGGAATTCACCAGAGGCAGGTGGTGGATTTGTATCTGTTCTCTGAAACGTAAAATACGTTCGTACCGAATTTTAAAGTGTATTTGTCTCTACTTCCAGCTCTTCCTTGGCTCAGTTCTTTTCGTTACTGCACAGTCCAGTGCATTGCTGTGTTGATAGATAGCCATATGTTTGGATGATCAGATTTGCAGTGCATTTCCAAGTTATGCACCACTGTTTTGCCTGGCATCTTTACTCAGTACAAAGATAGCAATTCATAGTGTATGAGTTCAGTTGATATATCAGACTGTCATCACTACCTGATCCTTAGTGGAGGACCTAAATTAGAATTCCCTGTGGTCCTGTTGTTCCTAAACCCCTGCTGCTCTGAACAGCTGTTTTGCTAACTTTCCATATACTAATCTCTATTCTTGTTAATTGTCTTTCTTTAAAGCTGTTGTACTGATTAATTTAAAAGCAATCATTTTGTTTAAAAGTTACCACAATTTCTGGTGGGCACACGTATGCAAATATGACACAATGGCTGGCTACGTTAAATAAAAGTGATGCTTCATTTGTGATATGTGGTGGTTTTTTAGATTTTTATTTGAATGTAGAGAGACAGATTCTGAACATTGCTTTCATAACCATTTTGAACTTGTTGCAAACTTCTCTGAACATGTAATTTGGCTAAATACCTACTCTGCTTGTAATTTTATTTCCAAAAATAGCAATACATTCTGTATTTTGATACTCTGTAAAGACTGGTTTGCCAGAACTTTCAAATACATCCAGGGATCCAACTCTTAATAAACAGCTTGTTTCTTTAAACATTTGTGTGAAAGTCTGAATGTAGTTACAAGTGCTTTGAGACCACGAAGGGTGGTTGACCAACATCATTGGGTTTGTCAGCTTGAATAACAGGAAATGGGCGAGATATTTAGATGATTGGTTTAATGACACACTTTAATGTTAAAACCTCAATGTGTGACTTAGAGGGTGGATGGTGGATATCTTTTAAAAATAGTTTAACATAAGTGGGAAATTAATATATAGGATTTGCTTTTGTGCTGATGGAACTCACTAAACAACTTAAATATTATCTGCCACCTGTTTCAGAGCCAGAGGTATGTCATGTCAAAGACTCAAGCATGCAGTTCCCGTCTTGTCTTTGTTCCTGATTGGGATTCCACAGACTGAATCTTAAAAGATACATGGCTAGTAGACTCTTTTAAGACGTTAGGAGAATGATTCATTCAAGCATGGATGGCAGCCTTCTAAGCCTATAATGAACATTAAAAAAAAAAAAAAAAAGCTGTCTTTTATAAAGATTGTTCTTCTAAATCTGTACCACAGACTGTATTGCACATTTTGTTTTGCTCTGTTGCAAGTTATGTCTCCTATTACCACTCTGGCGACATCATTTTGTAGTAGTAAGTGATACTACTGGCAAGTGTGAACTGTGAAAAAACAGTTGCAATTTATTATCTGTGATGCTGTGCAACTTGGTCTCATTTTGCCTTACTTTATCATTTTGTATGATGAGGGCAATACTGCCTTTATAAAATGTTACAACCAGTTACAGTTGCTGATAAGTGGGGAGAAAAAAAACTCCAAACCCCAGCACCTTAAATTTATGGGAAGCTTGGCAAAATATACTGATTTTGGTTCATTTTGTTCTTAATAAAAATTAAATCTTCCGTGGCATTCAAAACATCTGAAATCCATGTGCAACTACAAGTAGGCATATTGCTTACTTTAGCTATGAAAAATAGCAGAGTTGAGAATGAATGAGGTTTAAAATTACACCACATTTAATTTCCTGTGAGCATAAAAGTTATAGTTGGGAAAAGTTGGTAATTACAAAAGTCTAGCAGTTCAATTTTTATGCTGTTGTAGGTGATTTTGCAACCTGTTCTGTAGGAATTTCTTCACAGCTATGTTTCAAACAAGGCTATTATTTAGCTAGTGCATATGGAGTCTCTGGCAGTGTGCTTTTCATGCTTTCTTATTAATATGGTGTTCAGAGGTACTCAAGGATTTCTTTTTTTATTTGGAGTAGATCATTCTTTCAGTCCATCTTGTTTGCCAATTTCCTAGGTATACTAGTTATCTGCAGAAGTTAATGTAGTATTCTGAGAGATATTTCTATGAAAACGTCACCAAAAAAAATGTTTGTGTGTGGGAGTCTTCAGTAAGAAGGATAAATGAGATCCCTACATTTAATAAATGACATTATAAGAATACATTTGTTGTATTTTTGTTTTCTTTGAAAAAAATACCGCCTTCATTAATGCCCTTACCTTTATTCATTGGTCCTTGTGGGAAGTTGATAAAATTACAGTTTTCACATTAATATGGATAGATGGGGAAAGAAAGAGGACAACCACTAGGCCACTGTCCGGTAGAATCTCTGTAATGTGCTATACCCTATGAAACTTCCATCCACTCATCTTTTTCTGCAAATCTGCAGTCTGACAAAGTAAACCGTATCAGTGTGACTTGATAGATTTCTCAAATTATATTCCAGAAACAGAATACTTAGTGGCCATTTACAGTAACATTCCTGTTTTCTAGCAGTAATATTCAGGGTCAGTTGAATAATACCGCTGGGCTGTATCAGGATTAGTCTTGTCACTTAGCTTTCATGTGAGGGCACAGGTACTTAGACAAGGGTCATGTTAAGAAGGGAGAACAAAAATTCCATACAGTAGTTACTCAGGAAGAAGGTTTATAATGAAGCTACATGTTTGATACACTTAGTTATACAGAAAAGTAGACATCTCTGAGCAAGAGTGAATAAAGCAGTCCTCTAAACCAACTCTGTTAACCTTTGAAAATGATTCAAATTCATTTCCATTACTACTTTACTCTAATCTATGTTTAAGTTTTTAATAAAACTTCTTAAAATTCTGTACTAACTTAAAGTTGACTGTGTGGCTGTGTCATGAATCATTTTTCTATCAGTTTGCTGTACCCCTAACGTTGAAATTTACTTGGCTTATTCCAAAAGACATTCCTATTCTTCTAGTCTGCTGAGATACCTCAGGTACCTGCTAAAATAAGGAATCATTTAAATTACTTCTGCTACTTGGTGGAGTAATTTAATGCCTGCCTTGACCATGTGATGGCATTAATGAAGTAATGCAGTTTTATTAAAAACTTCTTGTACTGTGTGAACATGTGTCATAACTTGAAGTCAGCATGTATATACCTTTTGACCAGCTGTAGAACTTTAGAGCTGAAATGCTTTTGCTTTAGATCTACTAGTAAGTTTTCTTTTGTGGCACTGTGATTGCAGTCCTGAAATGAGCATTTAATTGGATATGTGGCTTATAGATAATCAGAAAAGATGTCAGGATTCTTGGGCCATACATAATGACTTTTGCTGGATAGAGTTCTGCCCATGTTAACTCAGATTCAAGGTAGAAATGGCTGCAACAAGTCAGACCAAAGATTCACCTAATCTGGAATCCTGTCTTCAGCAATGGCCGTAGCAGCTATTCAGAATATAAGGATAAACCCAGCATGCAATCATGTTTTCTCAGTATAGTCTTCCAGGCTCAGAGAGTCTGTGCCATGGAGGCTTTCCTAGCCAAGGGTGGTAGTTTTTTACTCAACTTTGATAGCTTTTTCTCTGAATCTATCTTAGTGCTTTTTGAGTCTATTTAACTTCAGTACTGATAGTATCTTGTGGCAATAAGTTAGCCTGCTTAATCTTAGACTGACTGAAAAACTTTCTTCTAAATGGGAAAGGATGGTCAAGGACAATACAACTGAACCGATCTCTATTAATCCTACATGTCCATGCTGTCTTGAACGTGCCTTGAAGTTTGGATTGTGGGTATTAGGGATAGTTTCTTGCAACTAAAGTGCTCCATCATTTGCACACAGTAGGATTTGAGTAAGTATTTTCATAATGAAGATGAATTTGCTGTTGAACATCTGCTGAAGATATGGATAGTAATATTTACCCCAAAGGCAATAATTTCTGATTCTTCTTCTTCTATATAGAGTAGTGTGTCCTTTAATCACTAGATATACAGGTAGTTCATGAGGTTTTATTTCCTTTGAGAAGAGGACTTCCCCAGAACTGCAAAGGGTGCTTTAAAGTTATCAAGTACACCCTTTTCTCTGGAATGGTGTGTATGGAAAGTCAGGGTGATATGGCCCATCACACTTTTGTTACTGTTAATGTTACTGCTAATGCATTATGGCAGTGAGGGTTGACAGCCAGAGAACCTAGACATGTAGTATATGGTAGCTAGCTCATGCTGAAATCTAAGTAGCTGTATCGTTACTGCTAAAATTATCTTTGTTAGGATAAGCCTAACACATGTTGCAACCAGATCTTCATTTTGGTATTGGCATCCCTACTTTCTGGGAAGAAAACCAAGTAATGAAAACAAATATGTTTGTACACTTCAAAAGAACTGCTTCAGATGACAGAAACTTTTGACTAGGGAGACAGCATACAAGTGCTGTTCAGGGTGAGGCAGGGTGATTGTAGAGTAGAAATTGAAGTTATTAAACAACTTTGAACCTCCCTAATTTTATCAACGTATTGAATGCAATAGCTGTAAATAACTAAATTATATTTTTCTCTTTAGAAAACGCCAACAAGAAGGATAACTTGAAACACTCTTGACCCTTTCACTTTGAATTTCTTGACTGCACTACAAGCAACCAGAATGTCGGGGGCTTCAGTGAAGGTGGCTGTTCGGGTCCGGCCCTTCAATTCCCGAGAAACCAGCAAAGAATCCAAATGTATCATCCAGATGCAAGGCAACTCAACCAGTAAGTCTATTTTAATCTCATAAGGCAGTCTTTCTCTTTCTTCTCCCTTCGTGCTTAATCCTCTTCATTTTGTCAGACTAAACTGACTAAACTGTGTACTTTATACCTTCTAGAATTACTCTTTTAGGGAATCTTCTCTTCGGAGGCTGTCATTAGACACAAGACTGTCTCTGAATTTGACTAGAAAGTCTTAATTCACGAGTACCTTGATTTTGATGCAGTTGTTTATGGTGTTTGCTTGTGGTGAGCTGAGGATTCTCCAGAAAGGTCAGAATGCCAAGGTGAAAACCTTTTCGTTATGTTCAGTGTGTGGGAATATCATGTGGACTGTCAGACGCAGGGATACGTTGCAGACCACCACATGATAATTGTTGCAATGTAACTCCTGCTTGGGTCTGGTGCTTTAGTTCTTGGTGTGCTTATTCCGCAGTCTGTGCCCTTGTTTAGGAGCATAATTTGAGTGAGAAACCTGAGGGGAAAAGGATGTCAAGTTGTATGATTTTCAGGTTAGATGTCTAAATAATGGCAAAATAACAGACTACATAAAATCTTATTTTCTGACCAATTTGAAGTGTTAGGATTCTTAAATAAATATTGTGGGATGAATTCAGAGAAGACTCTTCTATGGGAAACTGAATACAGGCACACTGTTTATGGAATGTTTGTTTTTTTTTTTTTTTTAACATGCGTCTTAAGATCAAGGCAGTATTGATAGCATTTGCTGCAGTGTCGTTGGTCATGTGTAGACTAATACCTTTACCTATAAACTGCTCTTCTTATGGTAGTTTTTCAGTTACATAATCAAGTAGAGTCATCTTGTCTGTAGCTGTAGGAAGTAACATGCCAAGAGTACTGAGTTACTTCCCTGTCTGATTACTTGAGTATTTACTCATGCTTGTTAATACATGGAGCTTTTATACAGGCTCCTCCCTTTTTTTTTTTTAGCTGGTACTGTACTTCAGCCTGCTTCTGCAATGGAATTTAACTCCTGGTTGTGGTCATTGAAATGATATACAATGTTTATGGTTTCATTGGAAGAGACACTGTACAGAAGAGAGCTTGCTTTTCAGTGCAGTGAATTCTTATCTTTGGACCTTATGTAGAATATTACCCAAAGAAACATTTTTGGGAGTTGGATTTCAAAACTTCCATTTAAAATGGGGGGGGAGGGGGAATGTTTAGAAATCATCTCATGTAGAAACAAGTGCTTATATCTCAGTGTTGCCTGTCAACTTTCAGACCAAACCATTGTTGAATGGAAGAACTACAGATGCCATTAAATGGAAATGCCACCAAGTTCCAAACTACAGCAGCAGCACTGGGTGCCACTGTAATAGGTCCTCTTGCAGCTGTCATGGCATGACAACAATAATTTTAGACACTTACGGTTTTTAAAGTCCAGGAGCCTGTGGAAACACCTTTCTTGTGGTACAATGACAAGGGTGACCAGTGGATCTTTGTGAGTTTGACTAAGTTTGAAATGTGGTGTAGACAGAAGACACTGTTTTTGTTTCTGAATGCTAGAGCTTCACTACAAAGACACATTTTCAAGAAATGGCATCCACTTTCAAAAGGGGGAAAATACGTCCTGATTTATCTCATTGGAAATTTCTTTACAGGTTTTGCTGTATTTTGTGGTCTGGAAATGTTCTAATCTTTAGCCTTCTATTTGGGTCCTATGGCTCTGATACAAGATGGGTGATAGGACAGGTGGTCAGGTTTAAGTCACCAGGGGCCATGTCACCACCAGTGGGAAAGGAATCATCAGTTGCAATAATTACACATTCTTACAATTTGTGGGCTATTTTCTCCCTGTATTTCCATCTTAGAAGATAAATACAGAGGAAAGCAACAGACAGGAGTAATTTTACTCATTGAACAGAAGAGGATCACATAATAAAAGATACAAATAAGGCATTGTTTGGTGAGGAAAAAACCTGAGCAGAAATCTTATCTCCAAAGAATCTTCCTAACAAAGTCGTCTGACGCACATAACTGAGCTGAAATTCTTCTGAAATGCATTTAGGCTACGTTAGATTTGGGGGCATAAATGCTGTTGCTATTTCTGCCAAGGATTCTTTCTTTTTCATGATTCTTCAGTCTTTGCAGCCTCACAATTACACTATTGAACTCCTTATTATTAAGGTCTGAACTTGTTGGCTACAAGCTGACTACAGAAAGTGAGAATGTACCTGACACATCTGATGCAGCACCTTCAAAATGAAGGGAATTCAGTAACAATTTTTGCCTGTGGAGTTCCTGCCTCATACTTTCAAATGCACTGACAAAATGATCAAGGCTTTCGTGTCTTGCTTCGGAGAAGTTGTTTTTTTTTCTCATTTGTGCACTAATCAGGTTGACAGGAGGCACATCTGAGACGCTGGTGATAAGTTGGGCAGCGACTGTTTTAAGCCTTCAAGATCTTGGAATTAAAGCCTGATGGACTATTGTGATGAACAGGATTGATGAGATGGTGTGGAGTCTGATTGCTGAGAACGGAGTTTGACTGCTACTTGAACTTTCATTCTTTATTTATTGAGTGGCGAAGCTATTCTAAAAGTCCTTTGTGGCTCCTGAGTTTAAACCTTGTCCGAGTCTGAGTTTTGTAAATGTATTGGCTGATACGGGCAGAGAGTTAGATTATAGTGAAACTGAGGCAAAGTGCTTGGTACTATTTTAAGGAAAACAGTATAGAGATACAGATAGTAGTGTATCACAAATATACTCCATTTATGTGTGTTTTTTTGTTGTTTTGTTTTGTTTTGTTTTTTAATGAATGTGTTTAGAAAGGAGTGGGTTTTGACATCCATAATGAAGTATATTCTTGAAGTTGGATTGCCACCAGGGTTGTTGCCTGACATGCTGCTTTTGTTTGTCAGTTTTGTGTGAATTTGGCTGTTTACAGCTTTTGGGGTTGCCTGTCACTTGTGGTGGGTTTGCCAGCAAAACAAAGCATCCTCTCCTGGGTTAGAAAGCTTATTCTCAATTTTGTTACACAGTTTAACTTTGCCTTTGAAGCAAAACAAGTGTACTTTTTTTTTTTTTTTTTGGTGGGCTTGAGGTCTCCTACAGTATTAACTTGTAATCCTATCTAGTTTTTATGGAATTTTTGGAAGAAGATCAGGATCTTTAGTCAAGATCTGTAGTAGAACTTGATCTTCATAATTTCTCAGTGTTTAAAAAATGACAGTGTAGCTGTATACAGTTCTATATATGTCTTAATCTCAGAAAAAGAGAGTTCTTACAAAGGTCTTTAACCCACAGCGTTAAGAGCACTTACTGTAAGTAATTGGGACTTCTATTTTTCTGTTGGAAGTATACAAAATATAAAAATTTTTAAATCAGTACTTGAAACATATTGTCTCTTTTATTTTGTCTGCTATATTAAGATGACAAGACTAAATTTTGTTTTTTCCCCTTTTTTAGTTGCAAAGGTAATACAGTATCTTGCACTTAAAGAATCATCAGTATTTGTTTTCAAAATATATGCTGCAAAAATGAAATTCTGCAGTCCAACTGAAGTCACATGTGCTGACTGCGTTAAAGGGCTGGTATTTTGGCAGCAGGCCTGTGCTGCACAGATCATATCTAATTGCAGATGGTATCCGTTTGAATGATACCGCCAGAAGTTCTTCAGTGGAAATGGGAGAAGTGCAGGTAGGAGAATAGAAGATAATAGAGGAATTCTTAAAGACAGGAGGAGTTAGTTTGAGATTGCAAAACACTTTCCAGTGATGAGGTAATGTCACTGTCAAACTGGTAATAGAAAAACCCTACCAAAACAGTAACTGAATGAGATGAATTTAAGAGAAGACCATTGATTTTTTTATTATTATTATTATTATCACATAGTTATGATCTTAAGAAAGATAGGATTTGCTTTCAAAAGCACCTGCTATGCATTTGGATTCAGTTGACCTAAATGCTTTATTTTCATTTGGATTTATGTTCTGAAGAATGTATCTATATTGTTCATTGGGCAGAGGTCACTAGTAGATATGAACATATGCCTGTAAGTCTCGTGCCCACTCAGGGCTAGGCACAGTGTAGCTGTCTTTGTGGCATTGCTTATGGTGTAGTCAGCCATGTGAGGGTTTCTGGTGTGAGAAGGGAAAAGTTAGTGGGCTCTGAGGACTTTTCATATTGATAATTAATTCCCTAGGGTGATCTTCTCTTAGCAGTCCTTTCTATCGGTTAGCATGACAATGCCCAATATAAAGTTTGTTTCTTATTCTGCTTCTTACAGAATATTTTGAAGTGAAACTTGGCATTGCTAGACATTCAATTTGCCCTTTGTGGTGGTGGTGGTTTATTGGTAAAATCCCACCTAATATTGAAATGGACCAAAACTTCTGAAATAACTTTTTTCTTTTCCTCTGAGATAACTTCCTTAAACTTATCAGTCTTTAAAAAAATTTGAAAGTTTATCTGCTTTAATATTTTCTTTAAGTTACTGGATAGATGCTTTATTGTGCTCTATGTCAAAGTCACAAGCAGCTTTTTGAAATTAATAATTCATGAATAGATCACGGTTGTTAGCATATCTTGATTGAATATGCTTTAACTCCTGCTTTTTCACTTTTTTTGTTCAGAATAATTTACACCAATGCATCTTACCTACAATGTATTAATTGCTTATTGCCAGTGCACTTCATTAATTACTGGTTTTATGGTGAGTGGGGAAAAAGATTCAGCTGTGTAATACATGGGATGAAAGGTGAGCTATAGGTCTAAGAGTATATTGTGTGTCAGTAATTCTTGTACTCATTTTGTATCAGATTTTGAAATGTAACAAATGTAAACAACGTTGACATTGCTGCCTTGGATTATTGACCTAAGAAGCTAAAATATTATATGCCTAAAGACTTCCTTAGTGTTGTGGGTTTTTTCTGTGGGTTTGTGTTTTTTTTTTGTGGTGAGTTTTTTTTTTTTTGGTTGGCTGTGTGGTTTTCTGTTTGAGGTTTTTGTTTTTGTGTTGTTTTGGGGTTTTTTTGTGTCTG